GGGTCGACTCTTCTATGAAAGGTTGTGACAAGTGTCGACTCTGCTATGGAAGGATGAGAAGGTCAACTCTTCTATGAAAGGATGTGACAAGAGCGACTCTGCTATGGAAGGATGTGAGAAGGGTCGATTCTTTGAAAGGATGTGACAAGTGTCGACTCTGCTATGTGGAAGGATGTGGAAGAGTCAATTCTTCAATGAAAAGGATGTGACAAGTGTCGACTCTGCTATGGAAAGGATGTGAAGGGTCGCTCTTCCTATTAAAGGATGTGACAAGTGTCGACTCTGCTATGGAAGGATGAGAAGAGGTCGATTCTTTTATTAAGGGATGTGACAAAGTGTCGACTCTCACTATGGAAGGATGTGGAAGAGTCGACTCTTTATGAAAGATCCTTGACAGTGTCGACTCTGCTATGGAAGGATGAGAAGGGTCAACTCTTCATTAAAGGATGTGACAAGTGTCGACTACTATGAAAGGATGTGAGAAGAGAGTCGATTCTTTTATTAAAGGATGGACAAGTGTCGACTCTGCTATGGAAGGATGTGAAGAGTCGACTTTTTATGCGATGTGACAAGTGTCGACTCTGCTATGAAAGGATGTGAGAAGAGTCAACTCTTCTAGTAAAAGCGTGGGGAAAGTGTCGACTCTGCTATGAAGGATGTGGAGAAGGGATGCAACAAGTGTCGACTCTACTATTAAAGGATGTGACAAGTGTCGACTCTGCTATGGAAGGATGTGAGAAGAGATTCTTTTTAAAGGGATGTGACAAGCCTCGACTCTGCTATGGAAGGATATGAGAAGGGTCGAACTCTTCTATTAAAGGATGTGACAAGTGTCGACTCTGCTATGGAAGGAAGGAGAAGGGTCGATTTTCTATGAAAGGATGTGACAAGTGTCGACTCTGCTATGGAAGGATGAGAAGAGTCGATCTCTTTTATGAAAGGATGACATGTCGACTCTGCTATGGAAGGATGTGTCGATATTAAAGGATGTGAAGTGTCGACTCTGGCTGGAAGGATGTGAAGTCAGTTCTTTGAAAGGATGTGACAAGTATCGACTCTGCTATGGAAGGATGGGAGAAGAGTCGATTCTTTTATGAAAGGATGTGACAAGTGTCGACTCTGCTATGGAAGGATGTGAGAAGGGTCAATTCTTTTATTAAGGATGTGACAAGTGTCGACTCTGCTATGGAAGGATGTGAGAGGGTCAATTCTTTATTAAAGGAGGTGACAAGAGTCGGCTTTTGCTATGGAAGGATGTAGGGATTGAGTCTGCTATGGAAGGATGTGAGAAGAGGCCGATTCTTTGCGCGATGTGATGGGGCGTCGACTCTGCTATGGAAGGATGAGAAGGGTCAACCTTCTATTAAAGGATGTGGAAAAGGTCGACTTACTATGGAAGGACGAGAAGGTCAACTTTCTATTAGCGACGTGACAAGGTCGACTCGGCGAAGGATGTGAGAAGGGTCAACTCTTCATTAAAGGATGTGATAAGTCGACTCTACTATGGAAGGATTGCAGACGAGAGAAGGGTCACCCTCTGGCGAAAGGATGTACAAGTGTCGACTCTGCTGGCGGAAGGATGTGGAGAAGAGTCGATTCTTTATGAAAGGATGTGATGCGGACAAGTGTCGAGTTGATTTTTATGGAAGGATGTGAGAAGAGTCGATTCTTTGAAGGGAAAGGGTCAACTCTTTCATGACAAGTGTCGACTCTACTAGGCGGAAGGACGTGGAGAAGGGTCAACCTTCTATTAAAGGATGTGACAAGTCGACCTGCTATGGAAGGATGAGAAGCGGTCGGATTCTTTTATGGAAAGGATGACAAGTGTCGACTCTGCTATGAAGGATGTGAGAAGGGTCAACTCTTCTATTAAAGGAGTGTGACAAGTGTCGACTCTGGAAGGATGGAAGGACGAGAAGGGTCGACTCTGCTATTAAAGGATGTGAAAAGTGTTCGACTCTACTATGGAAGGATGAAAGGAGAAGGGTCGACTCTTTTATGAAAGGATGTGATGCGTCGACTCTGCTATGGAAGGATGTGAAGAGTCGATTCTTTTATGAAAGGATGTGACAAGTGTCGACTTGCTATGGAAGGATGTGAGAAGAGTCCGACTTTTATGAAAGGATGGACAAGCGTCGACTCTGCTATGGAAGGATGTGAAGGTCAATGCTTCTGATAAAGGATGTCGATGTCTACTATGAAAGGATGTGAGAAGTGTCGAATCTTCTGATGAAAGGATGAGAAGAGTAAGGACTCTTTTATGGAAAGGATGTGATGGAAAGAGGCTATGGAAGGCCACCTTCTATTAAAGGATGTGACAAGTGTCGACTCTGCTATGGAAGGATGTGAAGGGTCAATTCTTCTATTGAAGGATGTGACAAGTGTCGACTCTGCTATGGAAGGATGTGAGAAGGTTGATTCTTCTATGAAAAGGATGTGACAAAGTGTCGATTTCCTGCTATGGAAGGATGTGAGAGAAGGTCGATTCTTCTATGAAAGGATGACAAGTGTCGACTCTGCTATGGAAGGATGTGAAGGATCAACTCTTCTATTAAAAGAGTGAAAAGATCGACTCTACTTGGAAGGACGTGAGAAGGTTCTTCTATGTGACAAGTGTCGACTTGCTATGGAAGGATGTGAGAAGGGTCAACTCTTCATTAAAGAGGATGTGACAAGTGTCGACTCTGCTATGGAAGGATGAGAAACTCTTCTATGAAAGGATGTCGACTGCTATTAAAGGAAAAGGATTCTTTGAAGGAAAGGGATGACAAGTGTCGACTCTGTTATGGAAGGATGTGAGAAGAGTCGATTCTTTATGCGAAAGGATGTGACAAGTGTCGACTTGCTATGGAAGGATGTGGAGAAGGGTCAATTCTTTTATGAAAGGATGTGACAAGTGTCGACTTGCTATGGAAAGGATGTGGAGAAGGGTCAAACGACTTCTATTAAAGGATGTGGAGAAGCGTCGACCATTAAAGGATGAGGCGGGAATGGGATGAGAAGGTCAATCCTTCTATTAAAGGAAGTGACAAGTGTCGACTCAGGAAGGATGTGAAGAGTGCTATGGAAGGATCTGAGAAGAGTGGAGCCAACTTTATGAAAGGATGGGACAAGTGTCGACTCTGCTATGGAAGGATGGGAGAAGGGCGACTTTTGCGAAAGGATGTGACAAGTGTCGACTCTGCTATGGAAAGGTCAAGCTGAGAAGGGTCGACTTTTCTATGGAAAGAGTGAAGAGTCGATTCTTGCGAAAAGGTGTCGACTCTGCTATGAAGGATGTGAGAAGGGTTTCAATTCTTCTATGAAAGGATGTGACAAGTGTCGACTCTGCTATGGAAGGATGTGAGAAGGGTCGATTCTTTATGAAAGGATGTGACAAGTGTCGACTCTGCTATGGAAGATGTGAGAAGGGTCAATGCTTCTTTTTAAAGGATGTGACAAGTGTCGACTCTGCTATGGAAGGATGTGAGAAGGGTCAATTCTTCTATGAAAGGATGTGACAAGTGTCGACTCTGCTATGGAAGGATGTGAAGGGTGTCGATTCTTTTATGAAAGGATCTTCAAGTGTCGACTCTGCTATGGAAGGATGTGAGAAGGGTCGACTCTTCTATTAAAGGATGTGACGAGTGTGCTATGATGTGAAAGGATGTGAAGAGTCGATTCTTTATGAAAGGATGTGACAAGTGTCGACTCTGCTATGGAAGGATGTGAGAAGTCGATTCTTTTTGAAAGGATGTGACAAGTGTCGACTCTGCTATGGAAGGATGTGAGAAGGGTCAACTCTTCTATTAAAGGATGTGACAAGTGTCGACTCATATGGAAGGATGTGAGAAGAGCTAACCTTTTTATGAAAGGATGCAGACAAGTGTCGACTGCTATTAGAAGAAGGACGAAAGGGTGACAAATTTGCTATGGAAAAGGAAGGGACAATGTCGGCTAAAGGATGTGACAAGTGTCTACTATGGAAGGATGAGAAGGTCAACTCTTCTATTAAAGGATGGGAAAAGGTCGACTTTGCTATGGAAGGACGGGAGAAGGGGGTCAACTCTTCTATTAAAGGATGTGACAAGTGTCGACTTGTTTGGAAGGATGTGAGAAGGGTCGATTCTCATGAAAGGATGTGACAAGCGTCGACTGCTATGGAAGGATGTGGAGAAGGGTCAATTCCTTATTAAAGGATGTGGAAGGTCGACTTACGGCGGAAGGATGTGAGAAGGGTCAACCTTCTATGAAAGGATGACAAGGTCGACCTGCCATGGAAGGATGGTGAGAAGGGTCGACTCTTCTATGAAAGGATGTGACAAGTGTCGACTCTACTATGGAAGGATGAGAAGAATCGATCTTTTATGAAAGGATGTGGACAAGAGTCGACTCTACTATTGAAGGATGTGAGAAGGGCCAACTCTTTTCCTATTAAAGGATGTGACAAGTGTCGACTTGCTATGGAAGGATGTGAGAAGGGTCAACTCTTCAATTAAAGGATAAGGGTGGACATAAGTGGAAGGATCTGAGAAGGTCGACTCTTTCCATGAAAGGACGCAGAGAAGTGTCGACTTCTTTGAGTAGGGTCAAAAGGAAAGCGATGGACAAGTGTCGACTCTATGCGGAAGGATGTGAGAAGAGTCGATTCTTTTTATGAAAGGATCAAGCAGTGACGAGAAGGGTCAATCTTCTATTAAAGATGTGACAAGGGGATGAGAAGAGAAGAGTCGATTTTTTATGAAAGGATGAAGGGTGTCGACTCTACAGTGGAAGGATGAGAAGGGTCGATTCTTTTTGATTAAAGGATGTGATAAGGTCGACCTGCTATGGAAGGACGGAGAAGGTCAACTCTTCATTAAAGGATGACAAGTGTGTCTACTATGGAAGGATGAGAAGAAGGTCAACCTTTTAAAGGATGGAAGGGGATCAAGGTGGAAGGACGCAGAAGGGTCAACCTTCATGAAAAGGATGTGACAAGTGTCGACTCTATATGGAAGGATGAGAAGGGTCAACCCTTTTTAGCGAAAGGATGTGACAAGCGTCGACTCTGCTAAGGAAGGATGTGAGAAGAGTCGATCTTTTATGAAAGGAGGACAAGTGTCGACTTGCTATGGAAGGATGAGAAGAGTCAACCTTCAATGAAAGGATGTGACAAGTGTCGACTCTGCCATGGAAAGGATGAGAAGGGTCAACTTTTCAATTGTAAAGGATGTTTGACAAGGGTCGACTTCATGAAAGGATGTGAGAAGGGTCCCTTCTCTATGGAAGGATGACAAGGGTCAACTCTGTTATGAAGGACGAGAAGGGTCGATTTATGAAAGGACGGAGAAGGTCGACTCTTCTATGAAAGGGAGAAGTGTCAACTCTTCTATGGAAGGATGTGAGTAGGTCGACTCTTCTAAGGAAAAGGACGTGAGAAGGGTCAACTCTTCTGGAAGGAAGGATGGACAAGTGTCGACTCTTATATGAAAGGTGAGAAGGTCGATTTTCTATGAAAGGATGTGACAAGGGTCAACTCTCTATTAAAGGGAAGTATGTGAGAAGAGTCGAATTCAACTTTATGAAAGGTTGTGACAAGTGTCGATTTGCTATGGAAGGATGTGGTAGGGTCAATCCTCTATGAAAATGATGGACAAGAGTCGACTTGCTATTGAAGGATGGAGAAGGGTCGACTCTTCTATGAAAGGATGTGACAAGTGTCGACTCTGCTATGGAAGGATGTAGGGTCAACTCTTCAATTAAATGATGTACAAGAGTGACAAGGATGTGGAGAAGTCGACTTCATGAAAGGAGTGACAAGGACTCTGCTATGGAAGGGATGAGAAGGGTTTCTTCACTTAAAGGATGTGACAAGTGTTGACTCTGCTATGAAAGGATGTGAGAAGGGTCAATTCTTTTATTAAAGGATGACAATTCGACTCTGCTATGGAAGGATGTGAAGGATCAACTCTTTATGAAAGGTGTCGACGACTCTACTATGGAAGGACGTGAGAAGAGTCGATTCTTTTAAGAAAGGATGTGACAAGTGTCGACTCGGCTATGGAAGGATGTGAGAAGGGTCAACTCTTCCAAAGGATGTGACAAGTGTCGACTCTGCTATGAAAGGACGAGAAGTGTCAACTCTTCTATTAAAGGATGACAAGTGTCGACTGCTATGGAAGGATGAGAAGAGTCGATTCTTTTATGAAAGGATGTGACAAGTGTCGACTCTGCTATGGAAGGATGTGAGAAGAGTCGATTCTTCTATGAAAGGATGACAAGTGTCGACTCTGCTATGGAAGGATGTGGAAGGGAGAAGGGTCAACGACTCTACTCTATCTATTAAAGGATGTGACAAGTGTCGACTCTGCAATGGAAGGATGTGAGAAGAGTCAACTCTTTGGCGAAAGGATGTGACAAGTGTCGACTCTGCTATGGAAAGGATGTGAGAAGAGGTCAACTCTTCTATGAAAGGATGTGACAAGTGTCGACTCTACAGTTGTGAAGGGTCGACTCTTCTATGAAAGGATGTGACAAGTGTCGACTCTGCTATGGAGAATGTGAAGAGTCGGAGAAAGAGTCGACTCTGCTCAGGAAGAGATGTGAGAAGGTACTCTTGAAAGGATTGACCAAGTGTCGACTCTGCTATGGAAGGATGTGAGAAGGTCGACTCTTCTGAAAGGATGTGACAAGTGTCTGACTCTGCTATGAAAGGATGAAGGGTCAACTCTTCTATGAAAGGATGTGGACAAGTGTCGACTCTGCTATGGAAGGATGTGAGAAGAGTCGATTCTTTTATGAAAGGATGTGGGACAAGTGTCGACTCTGCTATGGAAGGATGTGAGAAGAGTCGATTCTTTTATGAAAGGATGTGACAAGTGTCGACTCTGCTATGGAAGGATGAGAAGAGTCGACTCTGCTATGGAAGGATGTGAAGGTCAACTCTTCTATGAAAAGGATGTGACAAGTATCGTCTGCTATGGAAGGATGTGAGAAGAGTCGACTCTTTATGAAAGGATGTCGACTGCTATGGAAGAGGAAGTGAGGTCGACTCTTCTATGAAAGGATGTGACAAGAGTCTATGGAAGGATTCGATTCTTTATGAAAGGATGTGACAAGTGTCGACTCTGCTATGGAAGGATGTAAGAGTCGATTCTTTTATGAAAGGATGTGACAAGTGTCGACTCTGCTGAAAAAGGATGTGAGAAGGGTCAACTCTTCTATTAAAGGATGTGAAAGTGTCGACTCTGCTATGGAATGATGTGAGAAGAGTCGATTCTACTATGAAAGGACGTGACAAGGTCGACTCTGCTATGAAAGGAATGAGCAAAGTGTCGACTCTGCTAGAAGGGTCAATTCTTTTATTAAAGGATGATAGTGTCGACTCTGCTATGGAAGGATGGAGAAGGGTCAACTCTTCCATTAAAAGGATGTGACAAGTGTCGACTCTGCTATGGAAGGATGGAGAAGGTCGATTCTTTCTGAAAGGATATTGACAAGTGTCGACTCTGCTATGGAAGGATTAGTGGGCGGAAAAGATGAAAGGTCAACTGCTTCTATTAAAGGATGTGAAAAGTGTCGACTCTGCTATGGAAGGATGTGGAGAAGGGTCCATTCTTCTATGAAAGGATGTGACAAGTGTCGACTCTGCTATATGGAAGGTGAGAAGGGTCCGACTCTTCTATTAAAGGATGTGACAAGTGTCGACTCTGCTATGGAAGGATGAGAAAGGTCAACTCTTCTATTAAGGATGTGATTCTTCTATGAAAGGATGACAAGTGTCGATTCTTTTATGAAGGATGAAGAAGGGTGAAGAGTCTGCTATGGAAGGATGTGACAAGGTGTCGACTCTTCGGCGGAACGATGTGAGAAGTGTCGATCTGCTATTTAGGGTCGACTCTTCTGTGAAAGGATGTGACAAGTGTCGACTCTGCTATGGAAGGATGTAGAAGAGCCGGATTCTTCTATGAAAGGATGCAAGTGTCGAATTCATATGGAAGAAGGATGTGAGAAGAGCTCGATTCTTTTATGAGAAAGGATGTGACAAGTGCGTCGACTCCTATGGAAGGATGTGAAGGGTCAACTCTTCTATTAAAAGGATGACAAGTGTCGACTCTGCTATGGAAGGATGTGAGAAGGGTCAACTCTTCTACAAAAAAGGATTCTTGACAAGTGTCGACACTGCTATGGAAGGACGAGAAGGGTCGACTCTTCTATTAAAGGATGTGGACAAGTGTCGACTCTGCTATGGAAGGATGCAGAAGGGTCCAACTCTTCTATGAAAGGATGTGACAAGTGTCGACTCTGCTATGGAAGGATGTGAAGATTCTTTTATGAAAGGATGTGACAAGTATCGATTCTGCTATGAAAGGACTTCTTGTGAGTGTGACAAGTGTCGACTCTGCTATGGAAGGATGTGAGAATGTGAATCGATTCTTTTAGGTGAAAAAGGATGTGACAAGTGTCGACTCTGCTATGAAAGGATGTGTCAACTCTTCTATTAAAGAAGAGTCGATTCTTTTATTAAAGGATGTGACAAGTGTCGACTCTTGTCAATTCTTCTGAAAAAAGGATGTGAAGGACTCTGCTATGGAAGGAAGGTCAACTCTTTTATTAAAGGATGTGACAAGTGTCGACTCTGCTGCTGAAAGGATGTGAAGGATGTGGAAGGAGAAGAGTCGATTCTTTTATGAAAGGATGTGACAAGTGTCGACTCTGCTATGGAAGGATGTGAGAAGGGTCAATTCTTCTATTAAAGGATGTGACAAGTGTCGACTCTGCTATGGAAGGATGTAGGAAGGTCGAGAAGTGTCGATTCTATGGAAGGACGTGAGAAGGGTCGACTCTTCTATGGAAAGGATGGACTAGTATCGACTGCTATGGAAGGATGTGAGAAGAGTCGATTCTTTTATGAAAGGATGTGACAAGTGTCGACTCTGCTATGGAAGGATGTGAGAAGAAGTCGACTTCTTTTATGAAAGGATGTGACAAGTGTCGACTCTATGGAAGGATGCTATGGAAGGATGCTATGGAAGGATGAAGCGTCGATTCTTTTTATGAAAGGATGTCGACTATGAAAAGGATGTGAGAAGGTCAACTCTTCGACTCTGCTATGGAAGGATGTGAGAAGGGTCGATCTTCTATGAAAGGATGTGACAAGTGTCGACTCTGCTATGGAAGGATGTGAGAAGGGTCGATTCTTTTATGAAAGGATGTGACAAGTGTCGACTCTGCTATGAAAGGATGTGAGAAGGGTCAACTCTTTTATTAAAGGATGTGACAAGTGTCGACTCTGCTATGGAAGGATGTGAAAGGTCAATTCTTCTATGAAAGGATGTGACAAGTGTCGACTCTGCTATGGAAGGATGTGAGAAGGTCGACTCTTCTATGAAAGGATGTGACAAGTGTCGACTCTGCTATGGAAGGATGTGAGAAGGGTCCAATTCTTCATGTCTCGACTCTTCAAGAGGACGTGAAAGGAATCGACTCTTCTATTAAAATGTGATGTCGACTATGGAAGGAGTGTCGACTCTTCCATGAAAGGACTCTGCTATGAGAAGGGTCGATTCTTTTTATTAAAGGATGTGACAAGTGTCGACTCTGCTATGGGATGAGTTGGGTCAACTCTTGAGAAGGATGTGACAAGTGTCGACTCTTGGAAGGATGTGAGAAAGATTCTTTTTTATGATGTGACAAGTGTCGACTCTGCTATGAAAGGATGTGAGAAGGTCAATTCTTCTATTAAAGGATGTGACAAGTGTCGACTCTGCTATGGAAGGATGTGAGAAGAAGGATGTCAAGTGTGTCGACTCTGCTATGGAAGGATGTGAGAAGAGTCGATTCTTTATGAAAGGATGTGACTTCTAAAGGATGTGACAAGTGTCGACAAGTGTCTACTATGGAAGGATGTGAGAAGGGTCGACTCTTCTATTAAAGGATGTGACAAGTGTCGACTCTGCTATGGAAGGACGTGAGAAGGGTCGATTCTTTTATGAAAGGATGTGACAGTGTCGACTCTGCTATGGAAGGATGTGAGAAGAGTCGATTCTTTTTATGAAAGGATGTGACAAGTGTCGACTCTGCTATGGAAGGATGTGAGAAGAGTCGATTCTTTTATGAAAGGATGTGACAAGTGTCGACTCTGCTATGGAAGGATGTGAGAAGAAAATTCTTCTATGAAAGGATGTAACAAGTGTCGACTCTGCTATGGAAGGATGTGAAGAGTCGATTCTTTTGCGAAAGGATGTGACAAGTGTCGACTCTGCTATGTGGAAAAGGATGACAAGTTCGACTCCTTTGAGAAGGGTCAATCTGCTTCTATTAAAGGACGTGTGACAAGTGTCGAAGGGTCTCTTCTGTGAAAGGATGGAAGGACTCTACTATGGAGAAGAGAGTCGATTCTTTTATGAAAGGATGTGACAAGTGTCGACTCTACTATGGAAGGATGTGAGAAGGGTCGACTCTTCTATGAAAGAGTGACAAGCGTCGACTCTGCTATGAAAGGATGTGAGAAGGTCAACTCTTCTTTTATGAAAGGACAAGTGTCGACTCTGCTATGGAAGGATGTGAGAAGAGTCGACTCTTTATGAAATGTGACAAGTGTCGACTCTGCTATGGAAGGATGTGAGAAGAGTCAAATGATGTGATTCTTTTACGTGAAAGGATAAAAGGATGTGACAAGTGTCGACTCTGCTATGGAAGGATGAGAAGAAGGTCAATTCTTCTATGAAAGGATGTGACAAGTGTCGACTCTTCTATGGAAGGATGGGAGAAGTGTCGACTCTGCTTTGTAGGGTCAACTCTTGAAAGGATGTGACAAGTGTCGACTCTGCTATGAAAGGAAGTGAGAAGGGTCAACTCTTCTATTAAAGAGTGTGACAAGTGTCGACTCTGCTATGGAAGGATGTGAGAAGAGTCGATTCTTTTATGAAAGGATGTGACAAGTGTCGACTCTGCTATGGAAGGATGTGAGAAGAGTCGATTCTTCTATGAAAGGATGTGACAAGTGTCGACTCTGCTATGGAAGGATGTGAGAAGGGTCAACTCTTCTATTAAAGGATGTGACAAGTGTCGACTCTGCTATGGAAGGATGTGAGAAGGGTCGATTCTTTTATGAAAGGATGTGACAAGTGAGAATGGAAGGATGTGAGGAAAGAGTCATTCTTTCTATTAAAGGATGTGACAAGTGTCGACTCTGCTATGGAAGGATGAGAAGAGTCGATTCTTTTATGAAAGGATGTGACAAGTGTCGACTCTGCTATGGAAGGATGTGAAGGGTCGACTCTCTTCTCAACATTAAAGGATGTGACAAGTGTCGACTCTGCTGGAAGGATGTGAGAAGGGTCGATTCTTCTATGAAAGGATGTGACAAGTGTCGACTCTGCTATGGAAGGATGTGAGAAGAGTCGATTCTTTTATGAAAGGATGACAAGTGTCGACTCTGCTATGGAAGGATGTGAGAAGAGTCGATTCTTCTATGAAAGGATGTGACAAGTGTCGACTCTGCTATGGAAGGATGTGAGAAGAGTGACGATTCTTTTATGGAAGGAAAGGATGTGATTCTTCTATGAAAGGATGTCAAGTGTCGACTCTGCTATGGAAGGATGTAAGAAGAGTCGATTCTTTTATGAAAGGATGTGACAAGTGTCGACTCTGCTATGGAAGGATGTGAGAAGGGTCAACTCTTCTATTAAAGGGATTGAAAAGGATGCTAGGGAAGGACAAGTGTCGACTCTTCTGCTATGGAAGGATGCTGAGAAGGATGTCGATTCTTTTATGAAAGGATGTGACAAGTGTCGACTCTGCTATGGAAGGATGTGAGAAGGGTCGATTCTTTTATGAAAGGATGTGACAAGTGTCGACTCTGCTATGGAAGGATGAGAAGAAACTCTTCAATTAAAGGATGTGACAAGTGTCGAAGGGACGAGAAGGTCAACTCTTCTATTAAAGGATGTGACAAGTGTCGACTCTGCTATGGAAGGATGTGAGAAGAGTCGATTCTTTTATGAAAGGATGTGACAAGTGTCGACTCTGCACTATGGAAGGACGAGAAGGGTCGATTCTTCTATGAAAGGATGACGACAAGTGTCGACTCTGCTATGGAGGAAGGATGTGACAAGTGTCGACTCTGCTATGGAAGGATGTAATTCTTTTGCCGAAGGATGACAAGTGTCGACTCTGCTATGGAAGGATGTGAGAAGGGTCAACTCTTCTATTAAAGGATGTGACAAGTGTCGACTCTGCTATGGAAGGATGTGAGAAGAGTCGATTCTTTTATGAAAGGATGACAGTATGTCGACTCTGCTATGGAAGGATGGAGAAGAGTCGATTCTTTTATGAAAAGGATGTGACAAGTGTCGACTCTGCTATGGAAGGATGATGAGAAGGGTCAACTCTTCTATTAAAGGATGTGACAAGTGTCGACTCTGCTATGGAAGGATGTGAGAAGGAGTCGATTCTTTTATGAAAGGATGGACAAGTGTCGACTCTGCTATGGAAGGATGTGAGAGGATGTGACTTATGAAAATTCTTCTATGGAAATGTGAGAAGAGTGACAAGTGTCGACTTGCTGCTATGGAAGGATGTGAGAAGAGTCGATTCTTTTATGAAAGGATGTGACAAGTGTCGACTCTGCTATGGAAGGATGTGAGAAGAGTCAATTCTTTTATGAAATGATGTGACAAGTGTCGACTCTGCTATGGAAGGATGTGAGAAGGTCGATTCTTTTTATGAAAGGATGTGACAAGTGTCGACTCTGCTATGGAAGGATGTGAGAAGGTCGATTCTTCTATGAAAGGATGTGACAAGTGTCGACTCTGCTATGGAAGGATGTGAGAAGTCGACTCTTTTATGAAAGGATGTGACAAGTGTCGACTCTGCTATGGAAGGATGTGAGAAGAGTCGATTCTTTTATGAAAGGATGTGACAAGTGTCGACTCTGCTATGGAAGGATGTGAGAAGGTCGATTCTTTTATGAAAGGATGTGACAAGTGTCGACTCTGCTATGGAAGGATGTGAGAAGGTCAACTCTTTTATGAAAGGATGTGACAAGTGTCGACTCTGCTATGGAAGGATGTGAGAAGGGTCAACTCTTCTATTTTATGACAAGTGTCGAAGGATGTGACAAGTGTCGACTTCTGCTATGGAAGGACTCTACTATGAGAAGGGTCAACTCTTCTATTAAAGGATGACAAGTGTCGACTCTGCTTAAAGGATGGAAGGACTCTGTGAGAAGGATGTGACAAGTGTCGACTCTGCTATGGAAGGATGAGAAGAGTCGATTCTTCTATGAAAGGATGTGACAAGTGTCGACTCTGCTATGGAAGGATGTGAGAAGGGTCAACTCTTTTATGAAAGGATGTGACAAGTGTCGACTCTGCTATGGAAGGACGTGAGAAGAGTCGTTCTTTTTGGAAAGGATGTGACAAGTGTCGACTCTACTATGGAAGGATGTGAGAAGAGTCGACTCTTTATGAAAGGATGTGACAAGTGTCGACTCTGCTATGGAAGGATGTGAGAAGAGTCGATTTTTTTATGAAAGGATGTGACAAGTGTCGACTACTATGGAAAGGACTGCTATGGAAGGATGTGGAGAAGAAGGTCAATTCTTCTATGAAAGGATGTGACAAGTGTCGACTATGGAAGGATGTGAGAAGAGTCGATTCTTTTATGAAAGGATGTGACAAGTGTCGACTCTGCTATGGAAGGATGAAGAATCGATTCTTTTATGAAAGGGAAGGACTCTGCTATGGAGAAGAGTCGATTCTTTTATGAAAGGATGTGACAAGTGTCGACTCTGCTATGGAAGGATGTGAGAAGGGTCAATTCTTTTATGAAAGGATGTGACAAGTGTCGACTCTGCTATGGAAGGATGTGAGAAGGGGTCAATTCTTCTATTAAAGGATGTGACAAGTGTCGACTCTGCTATGGAAGGATGAGAAGAGTCGATTCTTTATGAAAGGATGTGACAAGTGTCGACTCTGCTATGGAAGGATGAGAAGAGTCGACACTTTTATGAAAGGATGTGACAAGTGTTCTGCTTTATTCTTTTAAAGGATGTGACAAGTGTCGACTCTGCTATGGAAGGATGTGAGAAGTGTCGATTCTTTTATGAAAGGATGTGACAAGTGTCGACTCTGCTATGGAAGGATGTGAGAAGGGTCAAGTGTCGACTTCTGGAAGGATGAGAAGAGAAAGGATGTGACAAGTGTCGACTCTGCTATGGAAGGATGAGAAGGGTCAACTCTTCTATGAAAGGATGTGACAAGCGTCGACTCTGCTATGGAAGGATGTGAGAAGGGTCAACTCTTTATGAAAGGATGTGACAAGTGTCGACTCTACTATGAAAGGATGTGAGAAGGGTCAACTCTTCTGGAAGGATTAAAGGATGTGACAAGTGTCGACTCTGCTATGGAAGGATGTGAGAAGGGTCAACTTTTATTAAAGGATGTGACAAGTGTCGACTCTGCTATGGAAGGACGTGAGAAGGGTCGATTCTTCTATTAAAGGATGTGACAAGTGTCGACTCTGCTATGGAAGGATGTGAGAAGGGTCAATTCTTTTATGAAAATGTGACAAGTGTCGACTGCTATGGAAGGATGTGAAGAGTCGACTCTTCTGAAAGGATGTGACAAGTGTCGACTCTGCTATGGAAGGATGAGAAGGGTCAATTCTTCTATGAAAGGATGTGACAAGTGTCGACTCTGCTATGGAAGGATGTGAGAAGGGTCGATTCTTCTATGAAAGGATGTGACAAGTGTCGACTCTGCTATGGAAGGATGTGAGAAGAGTCGATTGCTATGGAAGGATTTTTATGAAAGGATGTGACAAGTGTCGACTCTGCTATGGAAGGATGTGAGAAGGGTCAATTCTTCTATTAAAGGATGTGACAAGTGTCGACTCTGCTATGGAAGGACGTGAGAAGGGTCGATTCTTCTATTAAAGGATGTGACAAGTGTCGACTCTGCTATGGAAGGATGAAGGAGAAGGGTCGATTCTTCTATGAAAGGATGTGACAAGTGTCGACTCTGCTATGGAAGGATGTGAGAAGAGTCAGTTCTTTTCGCGAAAGGATGTGACAAGTGTCGACTTGCTATGGAAGGATGTGAAAGAAGGGACAAGTGTCGACTCTGCTTGGAAGGATTGAGAAAGGATTAAAAGGTGACAAGTGTCGACTCTGCTATGGAAGGATGAGAAGAGTCGATTCTTTATGAAAGGATGGACAAGTGTCGACTTGCTATGGAAGGATGTGAGAAGAGTCGATTCTTCTATTGAAAGGATGTGACAAGTGTCGACTCTGCTATGGAAGGATGTGAGAAGGGTCAACTCTTCTATTGGATGTGACAAGTGTCGACTCTGCTATTGAGAAGGGTACTTTTATGAAAGGATGTGACAAGTGTCGACTCTGCTATGGAAGGATGTGAGAAGGGTCAACTCTTCTATTAAAGGATGTGACAAGTGTCGACTCTGCTATGGAAGGATGTGAGAAGGGTTCTCTTCTATGAAAGATGTGACGACTCTGCTATGGAAGGATGTGAGAAGGTCTTCTTTTATGAAAGGATGACAAGTGTCGACTCTGCTATGGAAGGATGAGAAGGGTCAATTCTTTTATGAAAGGATGTGACAAGTGTCGACTCTGCTATGGAAGGATGAGAAGGGTCGACTCTTCTATTAAAGGATGTGACAAGTGTCGACTCTGCTATGGAAGGATGTGAAGAATGGGTCAACTCTTCTATTAAAGGATGTGACAAGTGTCGACTCTCTACACTATGGAAGGATGTGAGAAGGGTCAACTCTTCTATTAAAGGATGTGACAAGTGTCGACTCTACTATGGAAGGATGTGAGAAGGGTCGACTCTTTTATGAAAGGATGTGACAAGTGTCGACTCTGCTATGGAAGGATGTGAGAAGGGTCGACTCTTCTTTGAAAGGATGTGAGAAGTGTCGACTCTGCTATGGGAAGGATGTGAGAAGGGTCAACTCTTTTATGAAAGGATGTGACAAGTGTCGACTCTGCTATGGAAGGATGTGAGAAGGAAGTCGATTCTTTTATGAAAGGATGTGACAAGTGTCGACTCTGCTATGGAAGGATGTGAGAAGGGTCGATTCTTTTATGAAAGGATGTGACAAGTGTCGACTCTGCTATGGAAGGATGTGAGAAGAGTCAATTCTTTTATTAAAGGATGTGACAAGTGTCGACTCTGCTATGGAAGGATGTGAGAAGGGTCAACTCTTCTATTAAAGGATGTGACAAGTGTCGACTCTGCTATGGAAAGGATTCTTGAGAAGGATGTCAAGTGTCTTCTATGAAAGGATGTGAGTCGAAGGTCGACTCTGCTATGGAAGGATGTGAGAAGAGTCGATTCTTTTATGAAAAGATGTGACAAGTGTCGACTCTGCTATGGAAGGATGTGAGAAGGATGACAAGTGTCGAAGGATGTGAAGGGTCGAACGTCTTCTATGAAAGGATGTGACAAGTGTCGACTCTGCTATGGAAGGATGTGAGAAGGGTCAACTCTTCTATGAAAAGGATGTGGAAGTGTCGACTTGCTATGGAAGGATGTGAGAAGAGGTCAACTCTTCTCGATTCTTGCTATGGAAAGGATGTGGAGAAGGGTCAACAAGATGTCGTCGACTCTGCTATGGAAGGAAGGAATGTGAAAGGATGTCAAGTGTCGACTCTGCTTTTGAGAAGAGTGAAAGGATGTGACAAGTGTCGACTCTGCTATGGAAGGATGTGAGAAGAGTCGATTCTTTTTATGAAAGGATGTGACAAGTGTCGACTCTGCTATGGAAGGATGAGAAGGGTCAATTCTTCTATTAAAGGATGTGACAAGTGTCGACTCTGCTATGGAAGGATGAGAAGGTGGATTCAAGGATGTTTTCTGCTAAAGGATGTGGAGAAGCTCTTCTATTAAAGGATGTGTCGACTCTGCTATGGAAGGATGTGAGAAGGGTCAACTCTTCTATGAAAGGATGTGACAAGTGTCGACTCTGCTATGGAAGGATGTGAGAAGAGTCGATTCTTTTATGAAAGGATGTGACAAGTGTCGACTCTGCTATGGAAGGATGTGAGAAGAGTCGATTCTTTTATGAAAGGATGTGACAAGTGTCGACTCTGCTATGGAAGGATGTGAGAAGGGTCAACTCTTCTATTAAAGGATGTGACAAGTGTCGACTCTGCTATGGAAGGATGTGAGAAGAGTCGATTCTTTTATGAAAGGATGTGACAAGTGTCGACTCTGCTATGGAAGGATGAGAAGGGTCAATTCTTCTATTAAAGGATGTGACAAGTGTCGACTCTGCTATGGAAGGATGTGAGAAGGGTCAACTCTTCTATTAAAGGATGTGACAAGTGTCGATTCTGCTATGGAAGGATGAGAAGAGTCGACTCTTTTATGAAAGGATGTGACAAGTGTCGACTCTGCTATGGAAGGATGTGAGAAGAGTCGATTTTTTATGAAAGGATGTGACAAGTGTCGACTCTGCTATGGAAGGATGTGAGAAGGGTCAATTCTTCTATGAAAGGATGTGACAAGTGTCGACTCTGCTATGGAAGGATGTGAGAAGAGTCGATTCTTTTATGAAAGGATGTGACAAGTGTCGACTCTGCTATGGAAGGATGTGAGAAGAGTCGATTCTTTTATGGAAAGGATGTGTGTCGACTTGCTATGGAAGGATGTGAGAAGGGTCAACTCTTCTATTAAAGGATGTGACAAGTGTCGACTCTGCTATGGAAGGATGAGGAAGGGTGAGAAGATGTGACGATGTCTCTTTGGAAGGATGAGAAGAGGATTCTTTTATGAAAGGATGTGACAAGTGTCGACTCTGCTATGGAAGGATGTGAGAAGAGTCGATTCTTTTATGAAAGGATGTGACAAGTGTCGACTCTGCTATGGAAGGATGTGAGAAGAGTCGATTCTTTTATGAAAGGATGTGACAAGTGTCGACTCTGCTATGGAAGGATGTGAGAAGGGTCGATTCTTTATGAAAGGATGTGACAAGTGTCGACTCTGCTATGGAAGGATGAGAAGAGTCGATTCTTTATGAAAGGATGTGACAAGTGTCGACTCTGCTATGGAAGGATGTGAGAAGAGTCGATTCTTCTATGAAAGGATGTGACAAGTGTCGACTCTGCTATGGAAGGATGTGAGAAGGGTCGACTCTTCTATTAAAGGATGTGACAAGTGTCGACTCTGCTATATGGAAGGATGAGAAGGTGAGAAGGGTCGACTCTGCTATGGAAGGATGTATGAAAGGATGTGACAAGTGTCGACTCTGCTATGGAAGGATGTGAGAAGAGTCGATTCTTTATGAAAGGATGTGACAAGTGTCGACTCTGCTATGGAAGGATGAGAAGAATCGATTCTTTATGAAAGGATGACAAAGTGTCGACTCTGCTATGGAAAGGATGTGAGAAGGGAAAGGATGTGACAAGTGTCGACTCTACTATGGAAGGATGTGAGAAGAATCGATTCTTTATGAAAGGAACAAGTGTCGACTCTCTATGGATGGAGGATGAAGGGTCAGTTTTTTATGAAAGGATGACAAGTGTCGACTCTGCTATGGAAGGATGAGAAGAGTCGATTCTTTTATGAAAGGATGGACAAGTGTCGACTCTGCTATGGAGGAAGGGTCAATTCTTTCTATTAAAGGATGTGACAAGTGTCGATTCTCTGCTATGGAAGGATGTGAGAAGGGTCCAACTCTTCTCAATGTAACTTCTGCTATTAAAGGATGTGACAAGAGTCGATTCTTTTATGGAAGGATGTGACAAGTGTCGACTCTGCTATGAAAGGATGTGAGAAGTGTCGATTCTTTTATGAAAGGATGGAAGACTCTGCTAGAAGAGTCGATTCTTCTATGAAAGGATGTGACAAGTGTCGACTCTGCTATGGAAGGATGTGAGAAGAATCGATTCTTTTATGAAAGGATGTGACAAGTGTCGACTCTGCTATGGAAGGATGAAGGTGAGAAGACAAGTGTCGATTCTTTTATGAAAGGATGTGACAAGTGTCGACTCTGCTATGGAAGGATGTGAGAAGGGTCAATTCTTTTATGAAAGGATGTGACAAGTGTCGACTCTGCTATGGAAGGATGTGAGAAGGGTCAACTCTTCTTTATGACAAAGGATGATATGGAAGGATGACTCTGAGAAGGGTCAACTCTTCTATGAAAGGATGACAAGTGTCGACTCTGCTATGGAAGGATGTGAGAAGGGTCAACTCTTCTATTGAAAGGATGTGACAAGTGTCGACTCTGCTATGGAAGGATGTGAGAAGAGTCGAATTTTTTATGGAAAGGATGTGACTATGAAAGTGTCGACTCTGCTATGGAAGGATGTGAGAAGAGTCGATTGCTTTTATGAAAGGATGTGACAAGTGTCGACTCTGCTATCGAAGGATGTGGAGAAGAGTCGATTCTTTTATGAAAGGATGTGACAAGTGTCGACTCTGCTATGGAAGGATGTGAGAAGAGTCGATTCTTTTATGAAAGCATGTGACAAGTGTCGACTGCTATGGAAGGATGTGAGAAGAGTCAACTCTTCTATGAAAGGATGTGACAAGTGTCGACTCTGTCAACTCTTCTATGAAAGGATGACAAGGACTCTGTTATGGAAGGATGTGAGAAGAGTCAACTCTTTTATGAAAGGATGTGACAAGTGTCGACTCTGCTATGGAAGGATGTGAGAAGAGTCGATTCTTTTATGAAAGGATGTGACAAGTGTCGACTCTACTATGGAAGGATGGAGGGTGTGAAAAGACAAGTGTCGACTTGCTTTTCTTTTATGAAAGGATGACAAGTGTCGACTCTGCTGCTATGGAAGGATGTGAGAAGGGTCAACTCTTCTATTAAAGGATGTGACAAGTGTCGACTCAGCTATGGAAGGATGTTCGATTCTTTTATGAAAGGATGTGACAAGTGTCGACTCTGCTATGGAAGGATGTGAGAAGGGTCGATTCTTTTATTGAAAGGATGTGACAAGTGTCGACTCTGCTATGGAAGGATGTGAGAAGGGTCGATTCTTTTATGAAAGGATGTGACAAGTGTCGACTCTGCTATGGAAGGATGTGAGAAGAGTCGATTCTTTTTATGAAAGGATGTGACAAGTGTCGACTCTGCTATGGAAGGATGTGAGAAGAGTCGATTCTTTTATGAAAGGATGTGACAAGTGTCGACTCTGCTATGGAAGGATGTGAGAAGGGTCGATTCTTTTATGAAAGGATGTGACAAGTGTCGACTCTGCTATGGAAGGATGTGAGAAGAGTCGATTCTTTTATGAAAGGATGTGACAAGTGTCGGTCTGCTTTTATATGGAAGGATGTGAGAAGAAAGTCGATTCTTTTATGAAAGGATGTGACAAGTGTCGACTCTGCTATGGAAAGGATGTGGAAGATTTTTTATGAAAGGAAGAGTCGACTCTGCTATGAAAGGAGAGTGATTCAAGGATGTGACAAGTGTCGACTCTGCTATGGAAGGATGAGAAGAGTCGATACTTTATGAAAGGATGTGACAAGTGTCGACTCTGCTATGGAAGGACGTGAGAAGAGTCGATTCTTTTTATGAAATGATGTGACAAGTGTTGACTCTGCTATGGAAGGATGTGAGAAGGGTCAACTCTTCTATTAAAGGATGTGACAAGTGTCGACTCTACTATGGAAGGACGTGAGAAGGGTCGACTCTTCTATGAAAGGATGTGACAAGTGTCGACTCTGCTATGGAAGGATGTGAGAAGAGTCGATTCTTTTATGAAAGGATGTGACAAGTGTCGACTCTGCTATGGAAGGATGTGAGAAGATTCAACTCTTCTATTAAAGGATGTGACATGTGTCGACTCTGCTATGGAATGATGTGAGAATTGTCATCTCTTCTATTAAAGGGTGTGACAAATGTCGACTCTACTATGGAAGGACGTGAGAAGGGTCGACTCTTCTATGAAATGATGTGACCAATTTCGACTCTGCTATGGAAGGATGTGAGGAGAGTCGATTCATTTATGAAAGGATGTGACAAGTGTCGACTCTGCTATGGAAGGATGTGAGAAGGGTCAACTCTTCTATTAAAGGATGTGACAAGTGTCGACTCTACTGTGGAAGGACGTGAGAAGGGTCGACTCTTCTATGAAAGGATGTGACAAGTGTCGACTCTGCTATGGAAGGATGTGAGAAGGGTCGACTTTTCATTGAAAAGATGTGACAAGTGTCAGCTTTGCTATGGAAGGATGTGACAGGGGTTGAGTCTGCCATGAAAAGATGTGACAAAAGTCAACTCTTCTATGAAAGGATGTGACAAGTGTCGACTCCGCTATGGAAGGATGTAACAAGAGTCGACTCTACTATGGAAGGATGTGAGAAGGGTCAACTCTTCTATTAAAGGATGTGACAAGTGTCGACTCTACTATGGAAGGACGTGAGAAGGGTCGACTCTTCTATGAAAGGATGTGACAAGTGTCGACTCTGCTATGGAAGGATGTGAGAAGGGTCGACTCTTCTATTAAAGGATGTGACAAGTGTCGACTCTACTATGGAAGGACGTGAGAAGGGTCGACTCTTCTATGAAAGGATATGAGAAAAGTCGATTCTTTTATGAAAGGATGTGACAAGTGTCGACTCTGCTATGGAAGGATGTGAGAAGGGTCAACTCTTCTATTAAAGGATGTGACAAGTGTCGACTCTGCTATGGAAGGATGTGAGAAGGGTCAACTCTTCTATTAAAGGATGTGACAAGTGTCGACTCTACTATGGAAGGACGTGAGAAGGGTCGACTCTTCTATTAAAGGATGTGACAAGTGTCGACTCTGCTATGGAAGGATGTGAGAAGAGTCGATTCTTTTATGAAAGGATGTGACAAGTGTCGACTCTGCTATGGAAGGATGTGAGAAGAGTCAACTCTTCTATTAAAGGATGTGACATGTGTCGACTCTGCTATGGAAGGATGATGAGAAGAGTCAACTCTTCTATTAAAGGATGTGACAAGTGTCGACTCTACTATGGAAGGACGTGAAAAGGGTCGACTCTTCTATGAAAGGATGTGACAAGTGTCGACTCTGCTATGGAAGGATGTGAGAAGGATCGACTTTTCAATGAAAAGATGTGAAAAGTGTCAGCTTTGCTATGGAAGGATGTGACAGGTGTTGAGTCTGCCATGAAAAGATGTGACAAAAGTCAACTCTTCTATGAAAGGATGTGACAAGTGTCGACTCTGCTATGGAAGGATGTGACAAGTGTCGACTCTGCTATGGAAGGATGTGAGAAGGGTCAACTCTTCTATTAAAGGATGTGACAAGTGTCGACTCTACTATGGAAGGACGTGAGAAGGGTCGACTCTTCTATGAAAGGATGTGACAAGTGTCGACTCTGCTATGGAAGGATGTGAGAAGAGTCGATTCTGTTATGAAAGGATGTGACAAGTGTCGACTCTGCTATGGAAGGGTGTGAGAAGGGTCAACTCTTCTATTAAAGGATGTGACAAGAGTCGACTCTACTATGGAAGGACGTGAGAAGGGTCGACTATTCTATGAAAGGATGTGACAAGTGTCGACTCTGCTATGGAAGGATGTGAGAAGAGTCGATTCTTTTATGAAAGGATGTGACAAGTGTCGACTCTGCTATGGAAGGATGTGAGAAGGGTCGACTTTTCAATGAAAAGATGTGACAAGGGTCAGCTTTGCTATGGAAGGATGTGACAGGGGTTGAGTCTGCCATGAAAAGATGTGACAAAAGTTAACTCTTCTATGAAAGGATGTGACAAGTGTCGACTCTGCTATGGAAGGATGTGACAAGTGTCGACTCTTGTATAAAAGGATGTGATAAGGTGCGACTCTTCTATGAATGGATGTGTTAAGGGTCGACTCTAATATGAAAGAATGCGATGTGTTGATTCTTCTGTGAAAGGATGTGACAAGTCACCGAACTTCCTGATGACATTTATTCTCAACAATTTATTTATGCAGTTGACACATCTAATTCCTAGTGTCTGAGTATCAAATCCGACATGTAGTAGAACTGGTAACTACTCTCAAAAAGGATCTCTAATAAGTGGTTAATTGGGGCAAGGGTTGGCTTGTACATTTTAACGCCCCCCCCCCCAAATACTGCCTTCATGTAATCATCACTAAGAACATTTTCTTCCTGTCATCATCATAGCTGATGCTAAACTCCAGGAGAGGAAAATTTTGTGCCTTCTTGCAATCACTGACATGAAGTCGACGGATTATATTGAATTAATTGCTAGGTCAACTGCTAGGAAAGTTGGTTCGTTATATCGTTGCAAACAATTCTTTTCGTCCGAATACAAACGCGCACGCACACACAAGCACACACACACACACACACATACCTACATACATACATATATATATATATATATATATATATATATATATAGTTTATTCAAATTTAGGTAATCCGTATGGGTAGACCTGAGGAGAATATTCTTCATTTCAGCTTTTGGAAGTAAAGTCTGATGATCCAGAACCCTGTTAAAGGGGTTATGGTGAAATAACTTATTACATGGAATCTTAACGTGGTCTGTCTTTTATTCAATCAATATATATATATATATATATATATATATATATATATATATATATATATATATATATATATATATATATATATATATATATATATATATATAATTCAATTCAAAAAAATCAAACATTTGACAAAAAAGCAATATTTGTCAAAAGGCGGTTAAATTAATGAAAAAAGCGCTCAATACAATTTTCTTGAAGAAAGAAAGGAAAAGACGGAAAAAATGATCGGGAATAAGTGAAAGAAAGAAAGAAAGAAAGAAAGAAAGAAAGAAAGAAAGAAAGAAAGTGAAAGGGGAAAGAGGATCGGAGATATTTGGTATACAGAAAGAAAGAAAGAAATTTAGAATGAATGAAAGAAAGAAACGGAAAAGAAGATCTCAGATAAGTGATAGAAAGAAAGAAAGAAAGAAAGAAAGAAAGAAAGAAAGAAAGAAAGAAAGAAAGAATAATAAAGATGACAGGCAATAAGATTTAAAGAAAGAGAGAAGGTATAAAATAAAACGTTGAATAGGTACGAAGGAAGGAAGGAAAAAAGGAAAGAAAAAAGAAGGTTGAAAAGAAAGAAAAAGAAAGGAAGGTAGAACAAAGATAAGGAACAAAATAAGATGGGACCAAATGAAATGTACATTAAAGTCAGTGAAAAAAAAAGTAAAACGAACGACCAAAAGAGATAATGAAGAAAAGACAGAACTAAAAGCAGGAATGGAATGAAACTAAACAAAAGATACATTATCATCCCAAACATTCTACAGACAGAATTTAGGATCCTTTTTTTCTTTAACAGTGTGACTTTTGTTGCATGAATTTTCTATCATCTTAAAACAAAGACAGGAAGGGAGAAGTGATTTATGGAAAAGGGTATGGACAAAATTAAAATACAAATGCAAACTTATTGAGGGTATTGGATACGAAAAAAACAGACAAAAGTACAAAAAAAAAAATGGTGGTGCCATTCCAAGAAGAGCAATATCTAAATAAAGATACAACCAAAAGTGATAGCTAACTTTTAAAATGCATTTAAGAAAATGAAAACTTTTTTTGAATCTTTTATTTTAACTTTAATTCCAAGACGATAGACTAAATTTAATATTTTCTATAAGCAAAATATTTTGTTTTAACACAAATCGAATTTAAATTGATTAAAATATTTTTTCTATAAATGGTACGCAATATACGAAGTTTATTGAAAATCGTTTGAGAATAAAATATACTATTGCGAAAGGTTATTTGAAAATATTAACTGATTTAAAGTTTAATTAATCTGAATTGAAACAAATATGACTTACGTTTAGTTTAAAATATCTGAGAAAAACAATTTTAACACGGAGGTGAGTGTTTATTTTGACGCGTTGAATGATGTATTGACAGTTTGATGGTTGGGAAATTTAAGTAAGGACGAAACTGAAATAAAATTAAATGTCGAATAACGTAAACGTTTTTTTTTTTTATATATATTTTCAACTACTCAGTAATCATTAAAATTATAATATTTTAAACATTCTAATATATTATTGAATTTTAGGTATTTTGAATTTTTAATCTTACACAGACGGTTATTGAGGAAATGTTAGAAACATGAAGTTTAGGTACAAACGTGGAAAGATTAATCATAAAAATTACCTTGAAAATATTTAGAGAAGAGATAAAGGGAGTCTACGTTACGGTAGTGGGGAAGTGACTAAAATCGAGATGCCAGGTCAGTACCCATAACGTTGCAAATGCTTCTTTAGATTTTGTCAAAAATCTCGACATATGAAATAGAACCTGTGAGACCAGCTTATTGTTATTTTTTCATTATTAGCCCTATTGTTATTTACCAAGCAGAAATTAATTTTGGTACCAAGTCAGAAATATGGGACACGCAGTTAGGATCGAATTTACGATTCAGTCGTAAATAACTTGCGATAATTGTTTTGACACACACCAATAAAGTAGTCTCTTAAAGAAGGCTACTACATGTTGTCATGCGAGTGACAAAATGTGAAAAATATTCCTGTTTTTTTTAATTGTTGTTTTATTCCGCACCCCAACAGACAATGAATTGTACATATGGGGACTATTTCGGATTTTCATAGAGACAGTGAGGTATTATGGTGGATGTAGTAAGAAAGGTAAGTTTAGAGTGCGTTGTTTTGGTGTTAGGAATATTGTTTGTATGTTTGGGTCAGTGTCTGTGGCTAGCTAAGTTTTAAAGTTGAGACAGGTGAAGACCGTCCTATTCCCCATCACCCTTTTTAGGCCTTTGTACCATATTTTCTGTATATAACAGAAATAAATACCGGGAAGGTTCTTGAGCAAATTAATATATATATATATATATATATATATATATATATATATATATATATATATATATATATATATATTTGGTTGGATAGATGTGGTTTCACCCTTTAGCGATCGTCAGATCGCTAAATCGTGAAACCCAGGGTCACAAACTCACATCTATCCAACCAAATATGTTAGCTCTATCTCTGATATTGAGCGCTTATAATAAGTATTGCATATAATATATAAATAATTATACATATATATATTTATTTATATTTATATACACTTTTCACACACACACACACACACACACACACACACACACACACACACACATATATATATATAGTTATATACATATATTAATTTGCATATATATATATAACTATATATATATATATAGTTATATATATATAACTATATATATATATAGTTATATATATATATATATAGTTATATATATATATATATATATATATATATATATGCAAATTAATATATATATATATTAATTTGCACAAGTGAGTGTATATATATATATAGATATATATCGTATTTTTTGTAGAGGTTTTTCATTGGCATTCATGTTTTAGATTTTAGTAGTATGTAAAATAATTTAATTAACAATTACAAATTTCGAATGGGAAATAAAAGATGGATATGTACATATGAATCGAATTCTTTCCTGTATCCACCATTTTAATTTAGAATCTACTCTCAGGGAATAATATATTGAGCGAAACAAAGAGGCTGTGTCAGCAGTGAATCGAAGAATTTAAAAAAAAAAAATAAATAAGCAGGCGAAATTAGGTGACTTGACTTAGTCGACCAAATCTTGGGAGACATTATCATCAACCCACCCATCAGATTTATGAGCCAACTGATGTCAGAACTGCGAAATGTCTGTGAACAGATCATAAACACAGTATTTTTTTCTGATTTATAGACAATTAGCATAAATGTTCTTATTTGTCCCTCCTCTTCTGAAGAGCTCACAGCTGATTTAGAATTGAAATTGTCTTTCCACACTAGATAAATAGTCAATGCTTTCCACACGAAAAAAATTAAATTAAATTAAAAAATAGAGAATGAAAGACGGTAAGGCGACATATCATTTTGCCACGCTAGCTCTTGTGTTGGGCCCTATTTTCTCTGTGAGCGAAATGTTATTTTATTTTCTGATCTTCATCTCCAATTATCGATTTTCTCGCTGAATGCCTCGTTTTTCAGAAGGCTGTTTTTTCAAACCATCAAATCTGTTCACTCTGAAGATGGAAACTTAACTCTCTCAATATACGGCACAACAGATGTCGAGAAGTTCTTCATGGACTGTCCAATGATCAGGCTCAACGGCGAGTAAACACTTGCAAATAACTGCTGGAAAAATTTCAATATACCCGTTTTTAGCATAGAATTGCAATCGTTCCAGCAAGGCTTCAGAACCTGTTGTCAAACAATGGCAGTTTGAACAGGGCATGTTCTGTATTTGGTGGAATTTCGAGGAGGTATTGCATCTTGATCTTCTACAAGGACCCAGCAGACACTGTCAATGTGGCCAACCGCAAACTTGAGGAACCTGATAGGATAGAAATGCTGCCTCAATCTGCCTACAGTTCAGACATTGCACCCTTAGATTATCACCTTTTCCGTTCCATGGTTCATTTCCTGCGGGACGGAGGTGGAAGAGGTGGAGAACAAGTGTAGGGAGTCTTTTTTCCGCTGTATCCAGCTAAATATTTATAATTGCGGAAATAATCTTCTGGAACAACGATAACAAGAGACAAGAGAATAGGATGGGACATATTTTGATGAATAAACGCTTTTCGTATGTAATTTATTTGAACTGTTAATTAAAGCTTGAAATACAAAAACATTTTGACGCAAACTTATTATATATATATATATATGTATATATATATATATATATATATATATATATATATATATATATATATATACACGTACATGCATATATAAAGAGAGCAATGGGTAAGTTGTTGTCATTTTATAGTTTTCATTTCGCGCATGTGCGTTGTTTATTTTTGATTTTATCGACTGCACAGGAAAGTGGGATCAGTTGGGCACCGTCTGTGAATAAAAGATTACAATGACGCAATTCACTCGGCTAGAAATTTGGAAACGGCATGCTGTACTAGGCATTCTCGCCGGAAGCTGCAATACAAACATTTCAGAGTATCTGGGTGTTAATATGAGGACAGTCCAGAGAATACGGAAAGAGTTGGATAAGTCTTATGGTAATTACGAATGTACGGGAGCTCGGAAAACTCATTCTGATCGTTCTGATATGAAAAGAAATCACGAATTTGTTGGTGAGGTCCTCAGAATCAACACGGGGGCCTACATCAAGTGCCTTCATCAGATGAAGTTAGTGGTACCCTGGATCAAGAGAGTGGCTGCTGGAACACAATATGTCTGCCAATAAGACTCTGCACCATGCCACACAAGCAAGAGAAACCATGTGATGGCTGTCAGACAAATGTGGCGAACACATTACCCCTTACATTTGGTCACCTAACTTCCCAGACTGAAAGATCCTTGATTACTATGTGCGGAGCGCAGTTGAGCGAGAGACCAGAAAACCCTCTTTTAACACCAAAGATGAACTGAAGCACAGTATTATGGCAGCATTCACCAATTAAAACAAGGAGACCGTCCAGAAGAGATGCAGGAGATACCGAAGTCGTCTGGAGGTCGTGGTTGAAGCCAATGAAAATTTTATAGAATAAATGTACTCTTTAGTATTTCAAGATAATTTTGTGCAGTGTTGGCAAATGTATCTGTCAAAATGTTCCGTTGGGCGTAGGGCTAACAGATCCAACTCGTAGAAAACCTAAATGCTACAGAAAACACAGAGGTAAAACGTTGAGTGGCAAGGTGATGTGCGGTTGGTGTAACGATAAGCAGTTAGGAATAAGAAATCGAAGAGACGAGTTCAAATTCACGCTTGGTTCGTTACATTTACTTACGCACAAATACCCTTGGAGAATGTATGAATCAAACACCTCTCCCGCATATGGGTCAAATAGTAAAACTGAAAAAATCACTGTTATTCTCAAAAATTTCTTATTGCAATATTCACTCGCAAGGATATAACTATTCATACAATCCAAAATAGGTTTCGTTTTTAAATACCAACAAGCGGTTGATAAACCGTAAAAAAAAAAAGAAATCAATCAAACAGGTGGTAAGATTATGACCCTTTGACCCGAATGCTACAGAGTAGGAGAACAATGATCAACTGTACAGAAATGTTGAAATTGCAAGTTTTAGATTTTTGCTAAATATCTATATAATAATATGTGCGTGTTATACACCGGTGCGTTTTATAATGCCGTAAATATTATTTTTGTTAGAGGAAAGACAGCAGATTATTCACGGAAGATGTTCAAGGAGTCCTTTCTGCACTTGTAATTTTTATTAAACAGAATACCCGCCCTAGAAAGAAAGAAAGAAAGAAAGAAAGAAAGAAAGAAAGAAAGAAAGAAGAAATAAAGATAATTATGTTTGAAATCAACACCGCAGGGAACTGATTACGAATGTCATAATTATTGCTTTCATTGAATTGGATTCTCCCACGTGATTATAATGTCCAGTGATTGAAGCAGAAAATTTGATTGAATTCAGAAAATTAAATGTGTTTAAAAATCCGAGTGTTTCGCTTTTAAATAATAACACTTTTTGAAAAAAAAATAGCGTTAGGTTATAGCCAAAATTAAAATCTTAGAAAATCCAATTTCATATTTCTAAAACAATGAATATGTTTATGAAAATATTGTGCCAATTTAAGAGAAACTGAAAGGAAGTATATAACATCAGGACAACCTTCAAAAGCTTGACGACACTTCGCAGATTTCTCTCCTGAGTAAGACCCCCCACCCCCTCATAGAGGAGAACATGACTAAAGACTGTGTGTACGCTATCCCATGCAGCTGCGGAAAGGGATATAAAGTAGAGACAGGCCGCCCCCTCAAGGTAAAGCTTCAAGAACACCAGAAAGCTGTAACGCGAGGGGAAGTAAAAAAAAATCAGGCGTGGCTGACCACATATGGAGAGAGAAGGGAGATCACCGCTCTCTGTGGGATCATGTTGAGATCATAGACAAGGAACACCATTGGAAAATTCGTAAACTTAAGGAATCAGCACATATGCTAGGCCACAAGAATCTCCTGAGCCGACCAAGCATAGAAATAAATACAATATTGGAACCAGTA